AACCTTGTTCTCAGTTGCATGCTTCTCCTTCTCCACTTTGGCCAGAGTGAGCTCCAGATCATCGATGTCCTTCTTCAGCTCAGAACACTCATCCTCCAGCTTCCTCTTCTTAGCAGTCAGCTCTGAATTCATTTCCTCCTCATCCTCCAGTCTCTCTGTCATCTCTTTGACTTTGGCCTCCAGCTGAATCTTATTTTTGATCAGCCCTTCACATCTTTCTTCAGCATCTGAGAGGTTATCTTGCTCCTGGTATTAAAAAGTATGCAATTATAAATTCACACTTATGAAAGCATAACAGTAATTATTCATATATATAATATATAACCTGTAAACATAAGCATATTTTACAATTTTATACATCCACACGTACAGTCTGGACTTGTAACTGCAGGTCATTCTTCTCTTGGAGAAGAGAGACCATCTTCTCTTCCAGCTCCTTCCTGCGGGCCTCTGACTTTGCATACGCCTCTTTTAGTTTCAGGAACTCCTCCTTCATATTGGCCATCTCCTTTTCAGTCTCAGCGGATTTAAGCAGAGGTTTGATTTTGAAGTAGAGTTTCATCCAGGGCCAGTTTTTCACACCCATAAAGGCCCGGATATTCCACTGGATCACAAGCAAGGAATCCCTATGATTTGGAACAAAACACACTTAGCTGCTGTATGCAGGCTTCCGTGCATCACATGAACTAAACTTGCACATCGTGCTTTTTTTTTTTTTTTTACCTTCGCTCAACAATTTTTTGGAACTCAACCCTTGCAAGAAGGCCGCGTGCTCTAGCCTGGATGCCTGTCAATATCAGTGCCAAACGGTCATCCCTCATCTCCTCAAGCTGACCCAATAAACCAGCCTTGAAAAAAACCTGGAGGAATTAAATAATGGCTGTTATTCCTTTTTCTGTCCTCATTCAGATGATTATTTCTAAAGCCTACAGCTGTGCCTCTTTACCTTGGTGTGCCCAAATCTGTACTGCTGGTGGTCAATATCCAAGGATCCCAACAGTTTTTCTGCCCCCTTTTTGCTGTCTATGAACTGTCCCTCTGGGATGGCTGCAGGGTTGAGGATCCGGTATCTGCATTTGGAATGAAATCGGCATCAGTTTACAACAATCTGTTTTTGTTATTTATGTTTTATATTAGTTACATTACCTATTTCCCCAAAATAGGTTCTATGGTAAGAGAGACAGACCTCTGTTTGAAGTCTCCGTAGAGGATCCTGTTGGGGAAGCCCTTTCTGCAGATCCTGATGCCTTCCAGCACGCCGTTACAGCGCAGC